AATATTTAACGTCCGGAATAAAATTGTATGAAGCAAGGCAAAATTCGGTAAAAGATATACGGCGTAGAAATAATTTCACAGTCGTAACGATAGACCGTGAATCGGGTTGAGGAACACCTCTATCCCTCCAGTAAAAATTTGCGCGATACACCACAGCGACAAGTTTCAAGAAACCGATGGTGAACAGAGCAGTCAGTAACAACCCAAAGGGCGACGAAAGTAAAGACGAAAATAATTCCATTGCGACGTGAGTATGACGGACAAGCCAATGGCTTCGTCAGACAAGACAGTGAACGTATAAATGCGCGGACTTATGTAAGCGCGGATTTTATCGTAATAGAAAAGAAGAGGGGGAAGAAAAGAAAACGCCTTATAGTACTGGAGAATCAATGATCGCGCGTAATGCGTCGGTTCTAATCTAAGAATAGAGCACGCATAAATATACATTTAAAAATATTATCAAATATTATTTCCAACACTAAAATATTTTTCAAACATATGTCAACAGTAAATTCCTAGCAAATTCCCGCATATGATAATAAGATTATCTGCGTTAATTAAATATTATGAAACATACACGTACACACAACACACACACACACACACAAGTGAATGTAGGAATAACTTATTTCTCATTTTATATACGATTTAATTCAAGATGACGAATTAATTAATCCAACTATCAATCTTTGAAATGTTTAAAAAAGTACTTTAAAAAAACAAAGTATTGTAACAAAATAACAGAATTATCAACAAAAATCTAATTATATAATAATTAATATTTCTTAAAATATTTTTCAAAAATCTCATTTTAGAAACATGTAAAAATGGTAACAAAGGCTATGTCCAACTCATAAATCATCCTGTTTGAAATATTTCATTAAAATAATTTTTTATTTTGATACTTTAGAAATGTTAATTATATAACATAACATCTAAAAAATATTACATATTTTCAATGTTTCTAGAAGCGTTGTAAAAGCTGTTCACTACATTCTTATATCAATTTTAAAAGAAAAATCTTTAATATTATAAGTTACACAAAACGTAATCTGACTTAAGATAAAAAAATAAAAGAATACATCTTAAAAGTAAGAAAATGTAATATATATATTCATTGCTAAAATATGTGAAAAAAATTTACTCTTCCGGAATAAAGATTGCACAATGAATATCACTATTAAATGTCTCTAGTATGCATCTTGTTAACACAAATATGTGAGTTACGTCATCAAATCATAAAAACGTAAACAAGTAGAGTCGAGAGTCTGCAAAGGTCATGACAATGTTCAACTATAAAATTCTTATCTTTTACCTATATAAGTTTAATAATGTATAATAAAGATAGAATATGTTAAATATATAAAATATTCTATATTTTAATATTATATATAATTTAATATTATGTGCTTTTATGTGTGTAATTATATGTACTTTTAATTACATATTTTATATGTGAAGTAAATGTAAAAAAATATATACATAATTAAATATATAAACTTATAATATTAAATTAATACATTATCAGAATGGGGCAAATAAATCTTAAACTTTAACAATCTTCAAAAGTCAAAAAAATATATACAATCAAGTCTTGAAAGTTGTAAATGCGTCATAACTGCTTTGCAACTATAAAAAAAAAATTACTGTATCTGATAAGTTTATCACGGTTCTCTTTTCTCCAAGCCAATCCAAAATCCACCTTGAGATAGCAAGGTGAACTCTTTCTTATCGAATACAATTGGCTCGACAGTCTTTTTTGTTCTCTTCAGAATAAATTTTGCAAAAGATGAGCAATCAGAATCTTGGTCTCCATGAGAGCAAATCGATTACCGATACATTTTCTGGGCCCTTCTCCAAAAGGCAAGTAGGTAAACGGAACAATGTTGTCTTTATTTTCTTCGCTGAATCTTTCGGGATCAAACTTGTTTGGATTCGGAAAGTACTTGGGATCAAAATGGAAAGCGTAAATAGGAATTAACATTACGGTATTTGATTCGACAAGTACGCTCTTGCAACCCGGCTTCGATGGAGGCAGTTCGAAACTCTTAGTGCAAAGTCTATCAGTAATGACAGCTGGTGGATACTTTCGCAGCGTCTCGGAAAGCACCATGTCCATATAAGTCATCTTTGATAGCGTTTCATAAGAAATCTCCTTTCCTTCGTCAAGATGCTGCTCCACTTCTTCGCGCAAACGATCTTGAACCTCTGGATTAACCGCCAACTCATGAGCGACGAAACACATCAGTGTCGAGGTTGTATCAAAACCGGCTAAGAAAAAACCAAAAGCTTGCGCAACGATGTCGTCTAATGTCACTTTTTGGTTAATAGGATCTTTGTCCCGAGCCTGCATTAATATATGAATCATATCTGGCCTGACGATGCCTTGCTCCTCTCGAGTTCTGATAGTCTCTTCAACAATTCTCTTAAAAAATTTAGCCATAGATGGTGATGCGAATCCAGTCATACCGAGCCACTTGGCTATACGTGGAAATGCAGTCATAAACATAAATTTGAACAACATTAGCGATCCACTGAAAGTTTTGCTGGCCTCTATTCCCCTCAAGTAGAATTCGTTGTTTTGATCTTTCATAGAATTCACGCTTATGCCAAAAGCCGTTGTAGCGATTACGTCATTGGTATATCGTCGAAAGATCTGCTTCGTTTCAACTTCATCGCAAAGTTCCGGATGATCGACCAAATAATTGACGAAATCAGAAGAACATTTTAATATCAAGTCGAACATAACTTTCATCTTACTGGTAGTGAAAGTGGGACTTACAGTATTTCTTATTTCTCTCCAGCGATCTCCGCGCAAAGAAAAGATGCTCCTTGCAAGTAACGGGTCCACCTTTTCATCCAAGAAATTGCGATGATCATGAAAATGTTCAAACTGCTTTACCATCACATCCTTGATTAATTCAGGATCGCGCAGAAATATGGCTGGTCTGTTCGTATCCCGTGTTCCATAATATTTAACGTCCGGAATATAATTGTATGTAGCAAGGCAAAAGTCGCCAAATGATATACGACGTAGAAATAATTTCGCAGTCGTAACGAGAGATCGTGAATCGGGTTGAGGAACACCTCTAGACTTCCAGTAAAATTTTGCGCGATGCACCACTGTGACAAGTTTCAAGAAACCGATGGTGACCAGAGCAGTCAGTAATAACCCAAAGGGCGACGAAAATAAAGACGAAAATAATTCCATCGCGGACGTGTGAACGGCGAACAACGAATGGCTCCGTCAGACGAGACAGTAAACGTATAAATGCGCGGAATTGTACAAGCACGGATTGTGTGGTAATAAACAAGAAGAGGGGGAGAAATGAAAATGCCTCACACAGTATGACTAAAGAATAAATGATCGCGTGTAATGTGTCTGTCCTAATCTAAGAATAGAGCACACAAAAATATACATTCAAAAATATTATCAAATATTATTTCCAAAATATAAGATTTTTAATCAAAAAAACTCTGTCTCCTTTCGATAATTTATTATGATATTTTCCACGTTAAATAAATAAATATGTCTTAATAAAATCTGATATTATTTCTTAAATAATATTTCCAACAATAAAATATTTTTTAAAGATATAGCAACAGTAAATTCCTAGCAAATTCTCGCATATAATGATAAGATTACCTGAGTTAATTAAATATTATCACACAAAATTATGAATCATACACGTACACACACACACACACACACACACACACACAAGTGAATGTAGGGACAACTTATTTCTCATTTTAGGGACTAGTTATTTCTCATTTTATAAATGATTTAATTCAAGATGACAAATTAATTAATCCAATTACCAATCTTTGTGAAATGTTTAAAAAAGTACTTTATTTACATTTTACATTTCTTTATCTTACATTACGTAAAATTATCTTTCTGTAATATCTTTATAAAGTACTTGTAAGGTAATGAGCAAAAGTTAATATGTTCATAATATTGTTACATTGCTCGTAAAATCGTTTAGATATTAAATAGCCAAGCTTGTTACAGAAAAAGAAACATTGAATATACCCCAAAAAAGTAACTTATTGTTAAAAAACGAAGTATTGTAACAAATGAAACAGAATTATCAACAAAAATCTAATCTTATAACAATTAGTATTTTTAAAATATTTTTCGAAAATCATCTTCAACAATAAGTTTCTAGCAAATGTCCGTATATACTAACAATAAAATTATCTGTTTATTAGATATTTACACACATATAACACATATAATTAAATGTAGTGACAAGTAGTTTCTCTTTTTATTTAATTCAAGATAACAGGTTAATTATTTCAACTAGCAACCTTGGAAACGTATAAAAAAATAACAAAGGCTGTGTCCAACTCATAAATTATCCTGTTTAAAATATTTCATCAAAATAATTTTTTATTTTGATATACTTTAGAAATGTTAATTATATACATAACATGACGTCCAAAAAATGTTAAATATTTTTAATGTTTCTAGAAGCCTCGTAAAAGCTATTATCTGCATTGTTATATCAATTTTTAGAAGAAAAATATTTAATTTTATAAATTAGAAAAAAAGAGTAATCACAAAAAGAGAGTGATCTGAACTAAGATAAGAAAAGACAAATAAAAGAATTCGTCTTGAAAGTAATAAAATGTAAAATATGTTGGTATATTCATTGCTAAAATATGTGATAAAAATTTATTCTTACGGAATAAAGATAGAACAATGAACATCACTAATAAAATATCTCTAATATGCTTCGTGTTAACACAAATACGATGAGTTACGGAAATCATAAAAAAAACATCAATGTTCATTATAAAGTTCTCATCTTTTATTGACAAAAGTTTAATAAGTGTAATAACGATAGAATGTATACATGTACAATATTTTATATGTTTTAATATTTAATAATTAACATTACGTGTTTTATGTATTTAATTATATATATTTTAAATTACATATTTTATATATAATGTAAAGCATATATATATATATATATAGTATATACAATTACCTAATATATAAAACGAATACCTAATATTAAATTAATTTAATATCAAAATGGCACAATGATAATGTGCAAATAAATCTTAAACTTCAAGAACCCTCAAAAGACAAAAAATTATATATAATTAAATCCTGAAAAATGTAAATGCGTAAATAATGCTTTGCTACTATCAAACATAATTACTCTATCACATAAATTCACGACGGTTCTTTTTTCTCCAAGCTAATCCAAAATCCACCTTGAGGTAGCAAGTTGAACTCTTTCCTATCGAATACGATTGGCTCGATAGTCTTTCTCGTTCTCTTTAGTATAAATTTTTGCAAAAAATGAGCAATCAGAATCTTGGTCTCCATGAGAGCAAATCGATTGCCGATACATTTTCTGGGTCCCTCTCCAAAAGGCAAGTAGGTATGTGAAACAATGTTTTCTTTATTTTCTTCGCTAAATCTTTCGGGATCAAACTTATTTGGATTCGGAAAGTACTTGAGATCATAATGGAAAGCGTAAATAGGTATTAACATTACGGTATTTGATTCGATGAGAACGCTCTTACAACCCGGTTTCGATGGAGGCAGTTCGAAACTCTTAGTGCAAAGTCTATCGGTCATGACAGCTGGTGGATATTTTCGCAGCGTCTCGGAAAGCACCATGTCCATGTAAGTCATCTTTGATAGCGCTTCATAAGAAATCTCCTTTCTTTCGTCAAGATGCTGCTCCACTTCCTCGCGCAAGCGATCTTGAACCTCTGGATTAACCGCCAACTCGTGAGCGACGAAACACATCAGTGTCGAGGTTGTATCAAAACCGGCTAAGAAAAAACCAAAAGCTTGCGCAACAATGTCGTCTAATGTCACTTTTTGGTTATCAGGATCCTTGTCGCGAGCTTGCATTAGTATGTGAATCATATCCGGCCTGACGATGCCTTGCTCCTCTCGAGTTCTGATAGTCTCTTCAACAATTCTCTTAAAAAATTTAGCCATAGACGGTGATGCGAATCCAGTCATACCGAGCCACTTGGCTATACGTGGAAATGAAGTCATAAACATGAACTTGAACAACATTAGCGATCCACTGAAAGTTTTGCTGGCCTCTATTCCCCTCAAGTAGAATTCGTTGTTTTGATCTTTCATAGAATTCACGCTTATGCCAAAAGCCGTTGTAGCGATTACGTCATTGGTATATCGTCGAAAGATCTGCTTCGTGTCAACTTCATCGCAAAGTTCCGGATGATCGACCAAATAATTGACGAAATCAGTAGAACATTTTGATATCAAGTCAAACATAACTTTCATCTTACTGGTAGTGAAAGTGGGACTTACAGTATTTCTTATTTCTCTCCAGCGATCTCCGCGCAAAGAAAAGATGTTCCTCGCAAATAACGGGTCCACCCTTTCATCTATGAAATTGCGATGATCATGGAAATGTTCAAACTGCTTTACCATCACATCCTTGATCAGTTCAGGATCTCGCAGAAATATGGCAGGTCTGTTCATATCCCATGTTCCATAATATTTAACGTCCGGAACTAAATTGTATATAGCAATGATATGCTCGGCAAAAGACGTACGACGCAGAAATAACTTCGCAGCCGTAACAAAAGACCACGCACCGGGTTGAGGAACACCCCTATTCTTCCAATAAATAAGTGCGCGATACACTGATGTGACAAATTTTAAAAAACCAATGGTGACCAGAGTAGTCAGTAACAACCCGAAGGGCGACGAAAGTAAAGACGAAAATAATTCCATCGCGACGTGAGTATGATGGACAAGCGAATGGGTCAGACGATACAGAGAACGTATAAATGCGCGGATTTATACAAGCATGGATGTTATCGTAACAGAAAAGAGAGGGAAAAAGAAGACGCATCTCACTTTATCACTGCAGAATTAATGCCATTATGCGCGTCATCGCGTAATGAGTCAGTCCGATTCAAAGAAGAGAGCACACAGATATATACATTCAAAAATATTATCAAAGATATTGTCAATATATTATCAATAAGAATATTATCAAAAATGTTTCGATATTTATAAGACTCTTTTAATAAAAAAACATCTCTATATTCAACAACTTGTAATATTTTGTACATAAAAATATTTCCCAAATGATCTTCTTCTTCATTTGATACAACTTGTAATTATATTCGGCGTCACATAAATATCTTTACATTCGAACATAGCTACATTTATGACACCAAGTATATTTCCGTCTCACGTATCTGTACGATTATGAGATAAAACTGAGTAATACAGATTACAATTGCAAAAATATATAATGGAAAATATTGCATTCTAATAATTAATTATTATGGCAAAAAAAAACAAAAAAAAATCAAAAGCTTATCGAATTTATTCTTTTGCACAACAGATACATTCAACTGTTGCTATTGAATGGATTTATTAATGATGAAATTTGATTTATTAATGATAAAAATTGAATTGGATTTATTAATGTTATATTTATCTTTCTTTGATATCTTTACAAAGTACTTGCGAGTGAGCTTTAATATTAATATGTTTATAATATCGTTAGCTTGCTTGTAAAATCGTTTAAATTTCAAATAGCCAAACTTGCTACACAAAAGCATGATATAATGAGCTTAAAAACACAGATTAAAAGTATAGTATTCTAATAAATCAAAAATAAAATTATCAGCTTTCTTATTAATGATTAATATTTCTATGATATTTTGCAGAAATAGCAGACAATATAAAAATTAATTCCTTTCAAATGTCCACGTATCTTTTATTAGATGCTTACATACATACAACATACACACACGCCCACACAATTAGATATAGTTTGTTCTCCTTTTATATTTCATTCAAGACGAATTAACTAGTTTGACTAATAGTAATCTTTGAAATGTTTACAAAAATATCAAACGCTTTGTTTATATACTAAATTATTCTTTTAACTAAAATTCGTCAAAATTATTATTCCTTCATTTTAATCATTTCAAAGATTATAATATATAAAATGTTACTTAAAAATATTACACATTTTTAATGTTTCTAAAAACATCGCGAAAGCTATATATCACCTATATTATTAATTATTGGAAAACAAAATGTTTTATAGATTACACACAAAACATGATCTAATCTAATATAAAAAAATATAAAACTATAAAAATATAAAAAAAATAAAAAATAAAACAAAAAGTAATGTCGTTAAAGTAATAAAATATAAAATATATCTATGCATTATATGATAAATATTTCTTTTTAAAAAATAAATAATTAACAATGAATATATGCTGAATGTCTCCATAATGGCATTTATCGACACGCAAGTACGAGTTACGTAAATCGTTAAAGACCACTAATTTATACACGTAAAGTCTAGTCTATAAAAGTCACGTCAATGACCATCATAATATTCATCATAATATACTATGGGAAAATTTTAATAACACAATATAGATAGAATATACATAATATATATAATTAAATATTATAATAATAATATACTATATTAATTTAATATTCAAATGGCACGATAGTATATGAGGTGTATCGTAAATAAATCTTAAACTTCAATCATTTTTAAAATATAAGAAATTAGAAACGATTAAACATCTTAAAAGTTGTAAATGCATCAATCCTTTATAATTATAAGATAACAATTATTGTATTTCTAAAGTTCATTGCGCTTCTCTATTCTCCAAACAGATCCAGAATCCGTCTTTCGATTGCAGATTTAATCCTCTTTTATCAAATACGATAGGCTCCACAGTTTTTTCCGTTCTCTTGAGGATAAATTTTTGTAAGAGATGAGCCACCAGAATCTTAGTCTCCATGAGAGCAAATCGATTGCCGATACATTTTCTAGGACCTTGTCCAAAAGGTAAGTAAGTATATGGAACGATTTTCTTTTTGTTTTCTTCACTAAATCTTTCGGGATCGAACTTGTCCGGATTCGGATAATACTTGGGATCATGATGTATAGCATAAGTGGGTATCACCATTAAGATATTACATTCGACGATCACGCTTTTGTAACCCGGCTTCAACGGAGGCAGTTCAAAATTCTTAGTGCAAATTCTATCGGTATACGCCATTGCTGGATACTTTCGAAGTGTCTCAGACAGTACCATATCCATATAAGTCATCTTCGATAACGATTCGTAAGATATCTCATTTCCTTCACCGAGATGCTGCAGCACTTCCTCGCGCAGGCGATCTTGAATATTTTGATTAATCGCCAACTCGTGAGTGACGAAACACATCAGTAACGATGATGTTTCAAAACCGGCGAAAAAAAAGATAAAAGCTTGCGAAACAATGTCGTCCAGCGATATTTTTTCATTGCCAGTACCGTCCTTCTCCCGAGCCTGCATTAATAAGTGGATCATGTCAGGTCTAACGATACCTTGCTCCTCTCGAGTTCTGATAGTTTCTCCAACAATTCTCTTAAAAAAATCGGACACAGACGATGGAAATACAGTCACACCGACCAACTTGGCAACACGTGGAAGTATTATTATAAATATGAACTTGAACATAGATAACAATCGGCTGAAAATTTGGGTGGACTCTATTCCCTTCAAGTAGAATTCGTTGTTTTGATCTTTCATAGAATTTACGCTTATGCCAAAAGCCGTTGTTGCGATTACGTCAGTGGTGTATCGTCTAAAGATCTGCTTCGTCTCGATCGAATCGCAGAGCTCCGGATGATCGACCAGGTAATTGACGAATTCACCAGAACATTTTGATATCAAATCGAACATGATCTTCATCTTGCTGGCGGTGAAAGAAGGACTTAACATGTTTCTCATTTCTCTCCATCGATCTCCGCGCAAAGTAAAGATGTTTTTACTTAATAGCGGATCTAGGCTTTCGTCGAAGCCTGGATGATCATGGAAATGTTCAAACTCTTTTACCATAATATCCTTGATCAGTTCAGGATCGCGCAAAAACACGACAGGTGCACCAAAAACCGATCCATAATACTTAACGTCTGGGAAGTAATTGTACATGAACAAAGTAAAGTCGACTAAAGTGATACGACGCAGAAATACTTTCAAAGTCATAACAAAAGAGTATAAATTGGGCAAATAAAGAACATCTTTATCCCACCAATGAAAGTATACATGACGCACTACTGAGACAATTTTTAGAATGCCGATTATGATTAGAGTCACCAGTAACAACTCAAAAGGCAGCGAAAGTTTAGATGAAAATAATTCCATTGCAACGTTAGAATAACCGACTGAATGACTTCAGCAGACTAAACGTAGAACGCGTAAATGCTGACGCATATGAGCGGGGGTCGCATCATGGACAAAAGATAGAGGGGAGAAGAGAACGCCTCTTCAGTATAAAAACAGATTGTTGAAACAGTGATCGCGTTAAATACATTAGTCTTATTTTAAATACGCACAAATCTAGTCAAAGATATATTCATAGATTATTTTGCAAAATTTAAGACCTTTAATGTAGAAAATGTTCGTTTCGTTATGGTAACTTGTGATATATTCCACATGAAAATAGTTCTCTCTTCCAAATAATCGTTTAATCTTCATTTAATTCAACTTGTAATTACATTCGGCGTCACATACATTATTAATTATTAGAAAATAGAACGCTTTATATATTATACACAGAACATGATTCAGTCTAATATAAAAAATAATATTTCTTTTTAAAAAATAAATAATTAACAATAAATATCCGCTGAATATCTCTAATATGCTATTTATCGACACAGATACGCTATCAGTTACGTAAATCGTTAAAGCCCACTAGTATAAACAAGTACTGTCGAGAGTCTGCGAAGGTCACGACAATGACCATCATAATATTCATCATTATATACTGTAGGAATGGCACGATAGTGTGTGATGTGTACCTATCGTAAATAAATTTTAAACTTTAATCATTTTTAAAATATAAAAAATTAGAAACGATTAAACATCTTAAAAGTTGTAAATGCGTCAATGATGCTTTATACTTATAAGATAACAATTATTGTATTTCTAAAGTTCATTACGCTTCTCTTTTCTCCAAACCGATCCAGAATCCGTCTTTCGATTGCAAATTAAATGCTCTTGTATCAAATACGATAGGCTCCACAGTTTTTTCCGTTCTCTTGAGGATAAATTTTTGTAAGAGATGAGCCACCAGAATCTTAGTCTCCATGAGAGCAAATCGATTGCCGATACATTTTCTAGGACCTTGTCCAAAAGGTAAGTAAGTATATGGAACGATTTTGTCTTTGTTTTCCTCACTAAATCTTTCAGGATCGAACTTGTCCGGATTCGGATAATACTTGGGATCATGATGTATAGCATAAATGGGTATCATCATTGTGGTATTACATTCGACGATCACACTTTTGTAACCCGGCTTCAACGGAGGCAGTTCAAAATTCTTAGTGCAAATTCTATCCGTAAACAGCATTGCTGGATACTTTCGAAGTGTTTCAGACAGTACCATGTCCATATAAGTCATCTTCGACAGTGATTCGTAAGATATCTCATTTCGTTCGCCGAGATGCTGCAGCACTTCCTCGCGCAGGCGATCTTGAATGTTTTGATTAATCGCCAACTCGTAAGTGACGAAACACATCAGTAACGAGGATGTTTCAAAACCAGCGAAAAAAAAAATAAAAGCTTGCGAAACGATGTCGTCCAGCGATATTTTTTCATTGCCAGCACCGTCCTTCTCTCGAGCCTGCATTAATAAGTGGATCATGTCAGGTCTAACGATACCTTGCTCCTCTCGAGTTCTGATAGTTTTTTCAACAATTCTCTTAAAAAAATCGGACACAGACCGTGGAAATCCAGTCACACCGACCAACTTGGCAACACGTGGAAGAGTTATCATAAACATGAACTTGAACATAGATAGCAATCCGCTGAAAGTCTTGGTAGACTCTATTCCCTTCAAGTAGAATTCGTTGTTTTGATCTTTCATAGAATTTACGCTTATGCCAAAAGCCGTTGTTGCGATTACGTCAGTGGTGTATCGTCTAAAGATCTGCTTTGTCTCAATCGGATCGCAGAGCTCCGGATGATCGACCAGGTAATTGACGAATTCACCAGAACATTTTGATATCAATTCAAACATGATTTTCATCTTGCTGGCGGTGAAAGAAGGACTTAACATGTTTCTCATTTCTCTCCATCGATCTCCGCGCAAAGCAAAGATGTTGTTATTAAATATATAATCTAGGCTTTCCACGAAGGCGCGATGATCATGGAAATGTTCAAACTCTTTTACCATAATATCCTTGATCAGTTCAGGATCGCGCAAGAACACCTGAGGTATACCAAAATCCACCGTTCCATAATACTTAACGTCTGGGAAGTAATTGTACATGAACAAAGTAAAGTCGGGTAAACTTATACGACGCAGAAATACTTTCCAAGTCATAACAAAAGAGTATAAATTGGGCAAATAAAGAACATCTTTATCCCACCAATGAAAGTATACGCGACGCACTACTGAGACAATTTTTAAAATGCCGATTATGATAAGAGTCACCAGTAACAACTCGAAAAGCAGCAAAAGTTTAGATGAAAATAATTCCATCGCAACGTTAGAATAACCGACTGAATAACTTCAGCAAACTAAATGTAGAACGCGTAAATGCTGACGCATATAAGCGGGGATCGCATCATGAACGAAAGATGGAGGGGAGAAGAGAACGCCTCTTCAGTATAAAAACAGATTGTTGAAACAGTGATCGCGTTAAATACATTAGTCTTATTTTAAATACGCACAAATCTATTCAAAGATATATTCATAAATTATTTTGCAAAATTTAAGACTTTTAATGTAGAAAATGTTCGTTTCATTATGGTAACGTGTGATATATTCCATATGAAAATAGCTCTCTCTTCCAAATAATCGTTTAATCTTCATTTAATTTAACTTGTAATTACATTCAACGTCACGCATGTACATGTCTTTACATTTAAAGGTAGCTACTTTCACGATGTCTCAATATATTTGCACTATATGGTTATGAGAGAACAATAATAATACAGATTACAACAGCAAAAGTATATTGAAAATTGTTCCGTTCTAAATTTCGGCAAAAAAGAAACATAAAGTTTAAAGCCTGTCGAGAGAATCCATTCTTTTGCACAAAAGAACATTTTCATATTCAACAGTTGCCATCTAAAAATTTATTGACGCGTTAAATTTATCTTCTTTTTCTGATATTTCTACAAGCACTTGTCTTTACGAAATACTTGCGACAGAGTGGTATAAACAAAAAATTAATATATTTATAATACTATCGTTATCTTGGGTCGTCAAATTTTAAGTAGCCAAGCTTTTCAAGTTTTAAGTCCTTTGTTTACATTCTAAAGTGTGCTTCATAATGAAAATAATATTTTTTCTTATTTTACACTTAAAAAATTCTAATTATGTAAAATGTCATCTAAAAATATTACATATATTTAATATCTCTAAAAGCATCGCAAAGATTAATTACTTTACTTTTAGCTATTAAAATTATATCAATTTTTAGAAAATATTTAATTTTATATATTACGAACATGATACCTGACGTAACATTAAAAAACGAAAGAAGAAGCCTTAAAAATAATCAAATATGTACTATATAATGTGCAATGATAAAAATTTCTTCTTAAAAAATAAAGAATGTCAAATAAACATGATTAATGAATGTCTCTAGTATACTATTTGTCGATACGTAAATCATTAAAGATCACTGACGTAAAAAAGTAAAATCAAGAATTTAACAAAGGTCACAATACTGCTGATCATAATATTCTTATTTCTTACTAAAAAAAATTAATAACACTAGAGATGGAATATAAATACATAAAATATTAAATAATGTACTATGTAAATAAATCTAAAATATTAATCAAAATCCACCAAAGTCGAAAATTGTACATTAAATCTCAACATTATAAACGCATTAATATACTTTGCAACTATCAAAAAAAATTACTATAACTTGTAAATTCATCACAATTCTCTTTTTTCTAAGCCGATCCAAAATCCGCCTTCAGAGAGTAAGGTAAAATCCTTTTTATCGAATACGATGGGCTCGGCAGTTTTTTCTGTTCTCTTCAGATTAAATTTTTGTAAAAAATGAGCTATTAGAATCTTGGTCTCCATAAGAGCTCCGCTGAAGGTCTGGCTACTTTCAAGTTCCCTCAAGTAAAATTCGTTGTTTTGATCTTTCATAGAATTCACACTTATGCCAAATGCCGCTGTGGCGATTACATCGGCAGTGTACCATCTAAAGATCTGCTTTGTCTCGATCGAATCGCAGAGCTCCGACCAGGTAATTAACGAATTCACTAGAACAGTTTGATATCAAATCGAACGTGTTCTTCAGCTTGCTGGCGGTGAAAGTAGGACTTAGCATGTTTCTCATTTCTCTCTATCGATCTCCGCGCAAAGTAAAGATGTTTTTACTAAATAGCGGATCTAGTCTTTCGTCCACAAAGCTGCGATGATCATGGAAATGTTCGAACTCTTTTATCAACACGTCCTTGATCAGTTCAGGATCGCGCAGAAGTATGGCAGGTGTGCTCATATCCATCATTCCATGATACTGATCGTTAGCTTCGGGAAAGAAATTGTACAAGAAAAAACTGTAGTCGGTAGTAGTCATCCGACGCAGAAATACTTTACAACCCACTACGAAGGTCGATAGTGAAATGGGCAAATAAAGAACACCCTTGTTTTTCCAATAAAAATAGGCATGGCGCACTGCACAATTTTAAAGACACCGATAATTATCAAAGTAGCCAGCAACAATCCAAAAAGCGATGAAAATAAAAATAATTCCATTGCGATGTATAATCGACAAATGAGTAGCTTTATCGCACGAGACACATAAGTACAAACACTTATCTTATCATGTGATACAAAGTTTATAAAAAAAAACTACTTTCAATATATCATTATAAATTGTTGTATCATGCTGATTGCGTCAGGAACGTATTAATCACGTGCAATAATTCATTTGAAAACATCATACTAAAAATTAAAATTTTCAATTAAAGAAAATTTCGTTTTGTTTCGATAAAAACTTGATAGTATATTTCACATAAAAATGCTACAAAAATGATCTTGTTTAAGCATTATTTAATTCTGCTTGTATTATATTCAGTGTCATAAATTTTATATTTGAAGACAGTTTTTTTCTGATATCAGTATATTTTGCGTAAAATAAATAAATAAATATATATATATATATTTATAAAATAAAAATGAGCAAGATTATGCAATTGTAAAAATATATAATAAAAAGTGTTCCACTCTAAACAATAATTATTTCAGCAATGAAAAATATAAAAAGGATGAAATCTTACGGGGATTTATTCTTTTGCACAATCATTGGTATTTTCAAATTTATTGGTCGCTAAATTGATCTTTCTTTGATATCTTTATAATCTTTAAATTGCTTACGGTAGCGAGATATTTGAACAAAAAATTAAATCCAATAATGTTCATAATATTGTCTTGCTTGTAAAATTGTTCAAATTTTAAGCAGCTAAACTTGATAAAAAATAAATATGATATAATTATCTGAAAAAGATAAATTAAAAAAACAAAATATTCAAATCAAACATAAAATAATCAACTTTGATATTACTTTAATAATTAATTACTTTAATAATTTTTTTATTACTTTAATAATTAATTAACAATTAATGAGTATTTCTGAGCAATATAATCAACAGTAAATTCCTAGCAAATGTCCACATATGCTCTTACATTATATAACAATAAATTCTTTATTAAACGTTTTCACAAACACACAACATACGCATACACAATTAGGTGTAGTAAAAAAATACACTTTTTCTTTCATTATATACTATTTAATTTAAGATAAATTAACTAGTCTAATTAATAGTAAAAAACTTCTAGACATTTTAAAAAAATATCAAACATTTTGTTTATATTCTAAATATTTTCTTTTATAAAAATTCATTAAAATAATGATTTTTTTATTTTATTGCATTTTAAAAATTCTGATTGTATATTATTCAAAAATATTACATATTTGTAATATTTATAAAGATCAGATAAAAATCTATTAAATACATTATATCAGTTTATTTTTAGAAAATAAAATATTAACTTATATAAATTACTCAAGCTATAAATCAATATAATATAAAAAAAGAAAATGTCTTAAAAGTACAAAATATAAAATATTCTCCCAGGACAATATAATGATATGAAAGATTTCTTGCTATATAAAGAATAAAAAATTAATATTTCTACCGAACGTATGTATTTCTATTAAGCTATTTGTCGACATAAATACAAGTTCCATAAATCGTTAATGATCATTGATATAAACAAATAGAGAACCTACAATAATCATCATAATATTCTCATTTCTTACTGACAAAAATTTAATAACGAAATAAATATAAAATATAAAATGCATATATATGCATATATATGCATATATATATACAATACCAGTTAAAATTATATAGCCTTGACTTTTTCATATTTCATATATATGCATATATATATACAATATTAGCTAAAATTATATAGCCTTGACTTTTTCGGCATAACTTGTTTTAAAGTGCGCAAATATCTGCAAGAATTCTAACATGTTTTAAAGGATGATATAATATTAAATTATAATTTTTAATATGTTATACCAGTTTAAGATTTATTTACATACCTTTTGGCCAGATTTTTTGTCACACGTCTACTGTTTCCCTCTTACTCCTCACGCTTTAGCAACGCGTCACCACTCTCGTAACCAAGAAGCGCAATACTTTTTGTTTCAAGAATGCGCATATAAAAAATGTAACAGTGCAATATTTTTAGTGCAAATTTTTTATTTAATATTTTATTTTATATTAATAATAAAAATAGATATTATTTTGATATATTATATATTAAATAAAAATTTGAATGAGAATTTTTGCTATTAAAATATGCTATTATATTTTTAGATGCACATTCCTGAAACTGAATATGATGCTTCTGGGTTCTTGGTGTGTATGTGAATGCCGTCTTTTAAAACATGTTCGTGTATAGATCCGTGCACTTTAAAACAATTTTATGTTGTAAAAGTCAAAAAATGATATCAGAAAAGATTATATCAGAAGATAATATCAGAAAAAGATGATATCATAAAAGATGATAACAATGCTGTATACATATATAATATATACATATATACAGTACCAAAATTATGTCACTTTTTGCTTTTATCGGCATAACTTGTTTTAGGTCCATATTTATAGTCGTGATTCTGCTGAAAACTCAGCTGAAATTAATCTTAAGTGATACGGTTTAATAAAATTATGATTTCATACGGTTTGTTGTAATTTGATGGTTTTTCAAGTGAGTTATCGTTCCGTTTCTCATGTAAATAGTCTCAGTTAATCTTTAATCAAAATATAACTATTAAATCGTCCATATCTCAAGATATAAAATTCCAATCTGAGTATCTCACCTAATATGCTCTTGAGATAAGATTTGAGAAACAACTATAAATACGGACCTTAAAATGCACGGATCTCGAATGTTTTTCTAAACGAGTTATTATGCTGATAAATCAAAAGATGATATAATTTTTACCGGTATTGTATATTAAATATAATTAAGTACAATAAAATATGCTTAATATTCGAACAATACGATAATCTTAAATACATTTTCAAACGCTGAAAAAATGATACAATCAAACATGTGGAAAATTGTAAATAAGCCAATGATGCTTTGAAAGTATCAAAAAATAATTATTACATTTTATAAACCTATTATGAATCTCTTTTCTCCAAGCCAATCCAGAAACCACCATCAAACTGTAAATTAAAGCTATTCTTATCGAATACAGGCTCAACAGTTTTTTCTGTTTTCTTCAGAATAAATTGTCGTAAAAGATGAGCAATCAGAATCTTGGTCTTCATGAAAACAAATCGAGCGCCGATGCATTTTCTTGGTCCTTGTCCAAAAGGTAAGTAGGTATACGGAACAACGTTATCTTTATTTTCTTGGCTGAATCTTTCGGGATCAAACTTGTCCGGGTTTGGAAAGTACTTGGGATCATGATGTAAAGCGTAAATAGGTATCATGATTGTAGTACCAGGTGCGATCGTCATGCTCTTGTAACCTGGTTGCGACGGAGGTAGTTCGTAATTCTTAGTGCAAATTCTATCCATGCTAATCTGTGGTGGATACTTTCGGAGCGTCTCGGAAATCACCATATCCATATAAGTCATCTTCGACAGCAATTCGTAGGATATATCGTGTCCTTCGTCGAGATGCTGCAGCACTTCCTTGCGTAGGCGATCTTGAATGTCTGGATTAAGTGCCAGCTCGTGAGCGATGAAACACATCAATAACGAAGATGTTTCGAAACCAGCAAAAAAAAAGAATAAAACTTGCGAAATAATTTCATCTAACGTTATTTTCTGGTTGTTAGCTCCATCCTTGTCTCGAGTCTGCGTTAATAAATAAATTAAGTCCGGCCTGACGGTACCTTGCTCCTCTCGAGTTCTGATAGTTTCTCCAACAATTCTCTTAAAAAAATCGGAGATAGCTGATGAGAGGATTCCCGTTACACCGAGCAACTTGGCAAAACGTCGAAAGATTATCAAAAACATTAACTTGAATATAGTTAACACTCCGTTAAAGGAGTTAATTATCTCTACTCCCTTCAAGTAGAATTCGTTGTTTTGATCCTTCAAAGAATTCACGTTTATACCAAAAACCACTGTAGTCATTACGTCAGTATTGTATCGTCGAAAAATCTGCTTCATCTCAACCGAAGCATATAGCTCCTGATGATGAATAAGATAATTGACCAATTCACCAGCACACTTTGATATCAATTCACAGGTGACCTTCATCTTACTAGCGGTGAAAGAAGGGGTTAGCTTGTTCCTTATTTCTTTCCAGCGATTTCCGCATAAGAAAAGGACGTTTTTGCCTAATAGCGGATCTATTATTTCATCTAGGAAGTTGCGATGATCATGGAAATTTTCAAACTCTCTTACTAACACATTTTTAATCAGTTCAGGATCGCGCAGATATATGCCAGGTCTGATAAAATCCCATATTCCGTAATATTGAGCGTCCGGGAAGTAATTATACATAAAAAGAGTATAGTCGGAAAAAGTTATACGGCGCAGAAGTATATTGCAATTCATGACGAAAGATCGTAGCGAATCAGGTTGATAAAGCACACCTTTATTTTTCCAGTAAAAATATATATGACACATCACTGCGACAAATATCAAAATGCCGATAAACGAAATAGTCAATAACAACCCGAAGGACGAAAGTAAGGATGAAAATAATTCCATCGTAACGTGAGGCTCACTGACAAACAAATGACTCTGTCGAATTAAGAAAACATATATATACACGCGTTTAGATTCATAAGACCTTATCAAAAATTAAGAAGGGAGAAAAGAAAACACCTCCTCTTTCGAGCCGATATTCATAATGCGAATATTTAAGATCTATTAAGAATATTTTAAGTCCGAGCTTAAGACGCCACGCAGCTATTTGATTGGTTGAACACATAGTTCTAGGTATGGCTAGGCAATTGTCTATAGTTTGTGTAGAGATCGAATATTTAAAATTTATTAAAAATATCTTAAATCCGAGCTTAAGACGCCACGCAGCTATTTGATTGGTTGAACACATAGTTCTAGGTATGGCTAGGCAATTGCCTATAGTTTGTGTAGAGAAGTGATGTCCGGAGCAGGTTTAGAGAGAGAACGAGAGATACTTTGCAGTAGGGATAGTGGAGGAACATTGATATAGAGTGAACATTGATACAGCCATTATACTTCTGCATTAAAGTATCTAAAAAGTATCCCATTTGTTCACGCATACATGTTGTTATAATACACAAAGTAGATTAACATTTTTCGTAACACCATTTATGCGTGGACAAATGGACTTTTTAGATACTTTTCATGCAGAAATATAATGACTGTATCAATGTTCACTCTGTATACAATGTTCTCCTACTCTCTGTCCACCTCTCTTTCTAAAGTGTCAAGAAATATGCATTGCGCATCTCAGTTTTGAATTTTAAATAACCCCTGAGATTAAGTAGAATCCCGGTAAAAATATCATATATAATCAAATAAAACAATTAACATTATTGTTAATGTTTATTAAAACAATTTAATTAATGTTACAAACATAGAAGCATCTGTACAACTTCAATCTTATGTTATATTTTAATCTACAGTATATGTCAGGTCAATGTACAATGCATATTTCCGAACACTTTAGAAAGAGAAGTATTAAAAGTATATATTTCTGTCTCTAACCGCTTCCGGACACGATCTGATACATATTGCTTGTTCATACCTAAAAGGTCTATGATTAAACAGATCTTAAGTCAACCATCGGATTATAAATACCGGCCTCGCTATAATTCCCGATAAAAAAATCTTTATATATAATAATCATATATAAAAGATTATAATTATATATAATTATACATAACTATACATGAATTATGGGATATAATAATAAATAATTATATCCCATATATATGTGTATATTATTGTAACATTTTCATTATGTATTTTTTTATTCATTTGAATATTTATTAATGTTGAACTTCTATTAGTTTGATTTCTCATATTGAAATATAGGTATGATTAAATCTTTAACTACTTGAAATGTTAACAATTTTGCGTACGATAACGATAATATAAACATATTATTTTCTGTATACAAATACTTATCTTTACACTGTCTTGCGATAGAGAAATATGAACAAAAAATATCTTTATAAAGATATTAAAGAAAATATATATTTTCTATCAATATAATTATATAAATTATGAGATATATAAAGATGTCAGACTGTATATAAAACACTACATAAAAAAATATCTATATTTGTATTATATATTTATGCATATATCTTCGTTATATGCATACGTATATACAAGAGTGTCAATCAGCATTATATGAAATTAGATACAAAATAATAAAATTATATATAATTATATAATAGCTTATATATAATTTTATATATTTTTATATAATATTATATATTTTTATATATTTTCATATATTTTTATATATTTTCATATATTTTTATATATTTTTATATAATTTTATATATTTTTATATTATTATATATAATTACATATAAAACATTTTTTAGCGAAAATTATTCTGTCAGTGAGTTATGCGAAAAGGTGGGGGGTTACATCAATCCTATTTTAAACAAGCAAGCATTCAAAGATATCTATCATATCATATCTTAACTAACTCCTATTCATAAATACCATAACAAATTATGTCTAAAATTCAAGATATTAAGTAAAAGAAAATCTCGCCTCGGTTCCATAGTAATTTTTATATGTTCCACAAAAAAATAGTTTCTACATAATCCCGTTTAAACATTATTTGATTCAATTTATTATAATAATCAGCGTCACAAATTTTCTTTCATTTGAAAACAGCCACTTCCATAATACCGATTATATCTGCGTCTAATGAATTCATACGATTATGAGATAAAAATGAGTTATATACAAATTACAATTAAAAGTATACTATAAAAAATGTTTGATTTTAAATACCGATTATTTCGATAAAAAAGAAATAGAAAGATAAAAGCTATATATTTTTTTTGCACAAGCGAATTTAATTGTTACTATTTCTACAGATTTATTGATGTTAAATTTATTTTTCTTTAATATCTTTACAAAGATATTTTTTGCTTATATTTCTCTATCGCAAGACAGTATAAAAATAAGTATTTGTATACAAAAAAATATGTTTATATTATCGTTATCGTACGCGAAATTGTTAACGGTTCAAATAGTTAAAAATTTAATTATACGTATCAGTTTGATTTCAATATGAAAAATCAAACTGATAGGAGTTAAACATCAATAAATATTCAAATGATTAAAAAATACATAATGAAAATGTTACAGTAATATACATATTATATTTTTATATATTATATATAATTATATCCCATAATTCATGTATAGTTATATATAATTATAATCTTTTATATATAATTATATATAAAAAATTTTTACAAAAAACGTAATAAAATTAACTGAAAAACATAAATTATAAAACAAACTATTTTAATAAATCGCACATAAAATAATCAACCATACTTAGATATTATAATAATTAATATTTAGAAGATCGCCCTCTATTCATTTTATCGCTATTAAATTCGGGGTGTGTGTAACGTGCCGATTACGATCGACAAAGAGCTGCGAGCAATCAAGAGAATACGAGAAGAAAGAAAAGATTTAGAGAAGCTGGGCTCTCTGCGCAGGATCCATTGCGTAAGCAAAAAATACGAGAAAGGCGCAAGGGAGACTCGATACTTATGCCTCTCCGTTCTACGTCTCTCTGTTAGAAGCGTTAGTAAAAAAAAAAATCGAAGGGCACCCTACGTTAATTAGAACCTGCAGCAGCTTGGCTATTCGACCACGGGACTGTCGGTTATTTCGATGTTCGGTATACTGAAAATTATTATGTCTGTATTATTAATCAGCTTCGTCATGTCGTAATTTCCGTCAATTTAATCCTCTCACTTTTTCCGAATTTTAATTTCAGATATAATCGAAAATGTAATGGAAAATTCGAACAAAAATAATCGACGCTTTCTCGTTCGAGAAAAACACATTCCTCCAAGAAATATTATAGTCAACAAATTTATTCCGAGCAAATAATGACATATGCTTAGAGATTGTATGATATTATTTATTAAATGTTTTCACAAAACGTACACTGAAAAAAAAATTATTGGATTCGGATAAATATTTATTTCAATACCGCTTAATAAATTATTTATTTGAAACTAATAATATTGATTTGATGTGAAAAATATTTATTTCATATAAAAAAATTCTTTTCAAAACTGAGAAATATTTATTTGTTTCAAATAAATATTTATCCGAATCTAATAATTTTTTTTCAGTGTAAACACATACATATGTAACACATAATTAACAATAAGATACAATGAAATTGTTTCTTCTCATTTTATATAATATTTAATTGATGAGTTAATTAATCTGACTAATAGAAACATTTAAGACGTTTAAAAAAATATCAAACTGTGTATCAAAAATATTAAGCTATGTTTAAATCCTAGATTATTCTGCTGACAAAATTCCTTCAAAATAAAGATTTTTTCGATTTTATTGCACTTCATAAATTCTAATTATATAAAATCTCGTAAAATTATTACATATTTTTAATGTTTCTTAAAGCATTGCAAAAGCTAAGTTATTATATTAGTTTTTAAAAAACAAAATGTTTAATTTTATAAATCAGACAAGATATGATCGAATAATATAAGAAAATAAAAACAAAGAAAATGTCATGTAATAATTAAAACAAATATAAAATATATATGTGCCGTTATAGGAGATTTCTTTTTATATAAAAAATGAACAATGATAATTTCCACCAAATATATGTATCTCGATTATGCTAATTGTTGACACAAATACGAATAAATCATTGAAGATCACTAAAATATTCTAATTGCTGAACGGCAATAATTGAATGCAATACAGACAGAATATTAAATATATAATTAAATATATAAAATATATAATATATATAATGTTTTTAATATTCAAAGCGAACAATAGTAATGTGCGTCATAAAAAATGTTCAACTACAACCATCTTCAAAAGATCAAAAAATACACACGATTAAATATCTCGAAAGTTGTTAATGCTGCTTTGCAACCATCAGAAAATAATTATTGTTTTTCATAAGCTCATTATGATTTTCTTTTCTCCAGACCGATCCAGAACCCGCCTTCAGGTTGCGGATTAAATTCCTTCTTTTCGAATATGACAGGCTCGATAGTTTTTTCCGTTCTCTTCAAAATAAATTTTGTAAAAGATAAGCTACTAGCATCTTGGTCTCCATAAGAGCAAATCGGTTGCCGATACATTTTCTTGGTCCTTGTCCAAAAGGTAAGTAAGTATACGGAACAATATTGTCTTTGTTTTCTTCGCTAAATCTTTCAGGATCAAACTTTTCCGGATTTGGATAATACTTGGGATCATGTTGTATAGCATAAGTGGGTATCATCATTACAATATCCGATTCGACGATCACGCTTTTGTAACCTGGTTGCGACGGAGGCAGTTCGTAATTTTTAGTGCAAAGTCTATCGGTTAAAATCGCTGGTGGATACTTTCGTAGAGTCTCGGAAAGCACCATATCCATGTAAGTCATTTTCGACAGCGATTCGTAAGATATATCGTTTCCTTCGTCGAAATGCTGCAGCACTTCCTCTCGCAAGCGATCTTGAATGTCTTGATTAACCGCCAACTCATGAGCGACGAAACACATCAATAACGAGGATGTTTCAAAACCGGCGAAAAAAAAGATAAAAGCTTGCGAAACGATATCTTCCAACGTCATCTTTGGATTGTTATCACCGGTCTTGTCCCGAGCCTGCATTAATAAGTGGATCATATCCGGCCGAACGATACCTTGTTCCTCTCGTGTTTTGATACTTTCTCCTACAATCCTCTTAAAAAACTCAGACGTAGACGGTGAGACAAATCCACTCAAACCGAGCAACCTGGCAACGCGCGGGAATGCAGTCATAATCATAAACTTAAACATAGCTAGTACTCCACTAAAAGATTGACTGGTTTCTATTCCCCTCATGTAGAATTCGTTGTTTTGATCTTTCATAGAGTTTACGCTTACGCCAAAAACTGACGTAGCGATTACGTCAGTGGTGTAACGTCTAAAAATCTGTTTAGTCTCGACTTCAACGCAAAGTTCCGGATGATCAATCAGATAATTGACGAAGTCATCAGCACACTTTGATACCAATTCACACATGACTTTCATCTTGCTGGCGGTAAAAGAGGGGCTTAGCGTATTTCTCATTTCTCTCCAGCGATCTCCACGCAAAGAGAAGACGTTCTTTGCGAATAATGGGTCCACTCTTTCGTCCAAGATGCTGCGATGATCATGGAAATGTTCAAACTCCTTTACCAACACATCCTTGATCAGTTCAGGATCACGCAGAAATATGATAGGTTTGCCCATATCTGTCGTTCCAAAATACTTAGCATCCGGAAAGTAATTGTACATAGAAAGAGTATAGTCGACGAAAGCTATACGGCGCAGAAATATTTGACAAGTCATAACGAAAGACCATAGTAAATCGGACTGATAAAGAACACCTTTACCCTTCCAGTAAAAGCATACACGACGCACCACTGCGATAAATTTCAAGATGCCGATGGTGACTAAAGTAGACAGTAACAACCCGAAGGGTGACGAAAATAAGGATGAAAATAATTCCATCGCAACGCAAGGAAAACGAAGAAACGAATAGCTCCGTCAGGCGAGACAGAGAACGTATGAATGCAGCCACGTATAACCGCGCATTTTATCGTGGCATAAAAGAAGAAGGGGAACGAGCAAACACTTCTCATTTTAAATCATTGCATCAACTATTGCGCAGAATACGTCAGTTGTATTTTAAACGCGCGCAATAAGTCTTTCATGGATGGATCATCACATATTATTTTCAAAATTTTAGATTTTTGAAGGCAAGAAAAATCTTGTATTATTTCAATAACAACTTTCATATTTTCCACAAAAAATATTTTCTAAATCAATTCCGTTTAAACGTCATTCCGTTTAAGCGTCACAAATGCCTTTTCATTTTAAGATAGCTACTTTGACGCCGAGTATACTTGCATATAATAAATCTGTACAATTATCAGATAAGAATACAGATTACATTTGAAAAGTATACAATGAAAAATATTTTTACCTAAATATCGATTATTTCAGTAAACTGGAAATATAAAGAAGATGAAAACTATTTTGAATTCATTCTCTTGCAGAAGAGAACATTCAAGCGTTGCATTATACTTATTTATTGATGTTAAATTTAACATTCTTTCACATCTTTATAAAATACTTGCGACAAAATTAATATAACATTTATAATACTGTTATTTTGATCGTAAAATCGTTCAAATTTTATATAGCTAATCTTATTATAAAAAATATAATATAAAAAATAGCTGAAAACGTAGAATTAAAAATAAATTATTCTAGCAAATCGAATATAAATATCCTCTCTCAACTTTAACTTCTGACAATAAAATATTTATTAAAAATATCATAATTAACAGCAAATTCCTAGTAAATGTCTATATATGTTATGATTATCGATAGTTTTTATTTAATCTTTCAAAACATACAACACACAAATACATATATTGCAAAGTTCTTTTTCCTCTTATAAATATACCACTGAATTTAAAAAAGTTATCTAATCGATTATTAGCAATCTTTAAAATGTTAATAAAAGCTTAACAAAAGCTTTAGTATTTTTACAAAATAATGTCAAAATAATAAAACTTTGATTTTGACACTTCAAAAATTCAAATTATATCAAAGTCATCTAAAAATATTACACATATTTAATGTTTTTAATGTTTTCAAAAGCGTGGCAAAAGCTATTAACAATAATATATGTATACAAGGTTTCTTAGACCTACCGTATCATACACTAATAGGAGATTCCTGAGGCGATTTGGAGACGATTTTTTCTCAGCGAAAATGTCCAGGCACCAATCATTTTCGAGGTAAACAAAAATAAAAGCTTTTTTGTAAACTAAGCCTTGTGAAAATAAATTATTAACAAAACTACATATTTTAATTAATTTCAATTTAAGTACAGTTTACTTTAATAGAATTTTAATTTGAGGCTTAGTTACGAAGATACATGATTTCAAAAACTAGGAACATTAAAAAAATGATAGCATTTTCTTTCTCGACATTTTCGCTGAGGAAAAATCGTTTCTAAATCGTCTCAGGAATCTTCCATTAACGTGTGATACAGTAGGTCTGAGACACCCTGTATATCAAATTTTAGAAAACGTAAAGTTTAACTTTATAAATTAAACAAAACTTGATTCGACTAAATTTAAAGAAAAACATTTCTTCAAAGTAATAAAATATCAAAAATCCTATACATATATATATGCAATGAAAGTTATCTATTTGACGAATTAACAAATAACATCACTACTAAATGTCTCTAGTATACTATTTACAAAAAACAAATTACGTAAGCCGTTAAAGATCAATGATATGACCAATTGGAATCCTGAGTTTACGAAGATCACAACTATGCTCATCATAATACCACAATTTCTTAGCTAAACATTTATTAACGCAATATAGAGATAGAATATAAAATATATTGGATAAAATATATAAAAATGTAATATGAAATATTTAATTTAAAATTCATACAATGTTAAAATGACATAATAGAAGTTCAAAATTAAACTTTCTTCAAAATCTAAAAACTTATACATGATTAAATTTTAAGTGCGTCAATGCTGCTTTGCAATTATAAGGAAATAATTATTGCATTTCATAAACTAATCATGATTCTCTTTTCTCCAAACCGATCCAGAATCCACCTACAGGTTTTAAGTTAAAGTCCTTCTTATCGAATACAACAGGATCTACAGTTTTTTTCGTTTTCTTCAGAATAAATTTTTGTAAAAGACGTGCAATTAGAATTTTCGTCTCCATGAGAGCAAATCGATTGCCGATACATTTTCTAGGTCCCTCTCCAAAAGGTAAGTAGGTATACGGAACAACGTTGTCTTTATTTTCTTCGCTGAATCTTTCAGGATCGAACTTGTCCGGATTCGGATAATACTTGGGATCATGATGTAAAGCATATACAGGTATCATCATCATCATATCAGATTTAATGATTACGCTCTTGCAACCTGATTGCGGTGGAGGCAGTTCGGAATTTTGAGTGCAAAGTCTATCAGTGAATAACACTGGCGGATACTTTCGGAGGGCCTCGGAAATCACCATATCCATGTAAGTCATTTTCGACAGCGATTCATAAGATACATCGTTTCCTTCGTCAAGATGCTGCAGCACTTCCTCGCGCAAGCGATCTTGAATGTCTTGATTAACCGCCAGCTCGTGCGCGACAAAACACATCAGTACCGAAGATGTTTCAAAACCGGCTATAAAAAAGATAAAAGCTTGCGAAACGATATCTTCCAACGTCATCTTTGGACTGTTATCACCGGTCTTGTCCCGAGCCTGCATTAGTAAGTGGATCATATCCGGCCGGACGATACCTTGTTCCTCTCGTGTTTTGATAGTTTCTCCTACAATCCTCTTAAAAAACTCAGACGTAGACGGTGAGACAAATCCGCTCAAACCGAGCCACCTGGCAATGCGCGGAAATGCAGCCATAATCATAAACTTAAACATAGCTAGTACTCCATTGAAAGCTTGACTGGTTTCTATTCCCCTCATGTAGAATTCGTTGGTTTGATCTTTCATAGAATTCACGCTTATGCCAAAAGCTGATGTGGCAATTACGTCAGTAGTGTAACGTCTAAAAATGTCCTTTGTCTCGACTTCAACGCAGAGTTCTGGATGGTCAACCAGATAATTGACGAAGTCATCAGCACACTTTGATACTAATTCGCACATGACCTTCATCTTGCTGGCGGTGAAAGAGGGACTTAGAGTGTTTCTCATTTCTTTCCAGCGATCTCCACGCAAGGAGAAGATGTTCTTACCGAATAACGGATCTACCGTATCGTCCACGAAGGCACGATGATCATGGAAATGTTCAAACTCCTTTACCAGCACATCCTTAATCACTTCAGGATCGCGCAGAAGCACGGCAAGTGTGCCCATATCAAACGTTCCATAATACTTCGCGTCCGGGAAGTAATTGTACAGGTAAATACTATAGTCGGCAAAAGTCATACGGCGCAGCAGTATTTTCCAACTCGTAATGAAAGACCATAATGAATTGGGTTGATAAGGAACACCCTTTTCCTTCCAATAAAAATATACATGACGCACTACCGCGACAAATTTCAAAACTCCAAGAATGACCAAAGTAGCCAGTAATAATCCAAAGGGCGATGAAAGTAAAGATGAAAATAATTCCATCGCGAACGTGTGGATAGCGAACAACGTATGGCTCCGTCAGACGAGACGGACAATTTATAAATGCGGATGCGTAGAAGAGAGGAGCTTATCGTCGCAGAAAAAGAGGGGACGCGAAAACACCTATCATGCTATCACTACTACTATTATCACATCAATATCGTGGATATGTCATTTATATTAGAATGCGTAATAATACATTTACAGATATCATCATAGCTTATTAATAAAAATTTTAATTTATAATGAAGAAAAATTTCGTTTCGTTTCGATAACAATTTGTGATATTTGTCTCATCAAAATAGTTCTTAAATAATTCCATTTAATCTTCATTTGATTCAACTTGTAATAATATTCGGTGTCACAGAAATGTCTTTACATTTTATGACGTCGAGTATAATAAACGATATGAGTTAAAAATGAATAATTACAATTGCAAATGTACACAATGAAAAGTATGAAATGTATACATAAAAAATATTTCATTCTAAACATTGCTTATTTCAGAAAAAAAACATAAAAAGAATGAAAAGCCTATCAAAGTCATTGTTTTATATAAAAGAACATTCAACTATTAAGAGATGAATTTGAAAATTGATATTTCTTTTAAAACTTTTACAAGTTATCCTTATAAAGTACTTACAACAGATAAGTATAAACAAAAAATTATTATCTGCAGTACCGTTAGCTTGGTCATAAAATCATTTAGATTTTAAATAGCAAAACAAAAAATAGCAATACAAAAAAACCTGATATAATTAGCTTAAAAATGCAGATTAAAAAACATAATATTCTAACATTTTCAACATAAAATGATCAACAAAATCTTTCTGATATTATAACAAAATAATATTTGTGCGATACACTTCTCAAATATCGCAGTCACAGTAAACTCCTACAAATGTCCACATGCTCAGCTTATACATTTCGTATTAAATATTTCTACACACGAAATATACACACACGTACATAATACACATAATTATAGTGTAAAGATTTGATTTTCTCCTTTTATGTACCATTTAATTCAAAATGAGTTGACTAATCTATCAATCTTTCAAATGTTTAAAAAAGTATCAAGCATTTTGTTTAAATCCTAGACTATTATTTTTACAAAATTTCATCAAAATAATAATTTTTGTTGCACTTTAGAATCTCTGATAATATAATATATTATCTTAAAATATTACGTATTTATAGTGTTTTTAAGGGCATCACAAAAGCTATTAACCAAATTATTAGAAAATTTTTCAAAACTTTTTAAACATTTAATTTTTAATAAATGGAAATAATATTAAAATACAAAATATTAAATATTAAAAAACAAAATAAAATAAAAATATAAAATAAAAATATTAAAATACAAAATGTATCGGAAATAATATCAAAATATGAAATAAAATTTAAAATATACCTGAGCAGTGATAAAAGATTTCTTCTTCCATAAAGAATGAACAGTGAACAGCTCTATTAAATGTATATATTTCTATTATGCTACTTGTCCACACATATACGAATTAAAGTCGTTAAAGACCATTGATATGAACAAATAGAACCAAGAGTCTACGAAGGTCACAACAATGCCATCATATCACAATTTCTTAGCTAAAACTTTAATAACGCAATAGAGATAGAATATAAAACATATTTAACTAAACATAAAAATGTAATATTAAATAATTATTTAATATTCATACAATGATAAAATGACATAATAGATGTTTAGAATTAAACTTTCTTCAAAATCTAAAAAATTATACACGATTAAATTGTAAGCGCGTCAAATATACGACTTTGCAATTATAAGAAAATAATTATTGCATTTCATAAACTAATCACGATTTTCTTTTCTCTAAACCGATCCAGAATCCACCTTCAGGTTTTAAGTTAAAGTCCTTCTTATCAAATACAACGGGATCCATAGTTTTTTCCGTTTTCCTCAGAATAAATTTTTGTAAAAGACGTGCAATTAAAATCTTCGTCTCCATGAGAGCAAATCGATTGCCGATACATTTTCTAGGTCCCTCTCCAAAAGGTAAGTAAGTATACGGAACAATGTTATTTTTATTTTCTTCGCTAAATCTTTCGGGATCGAATTTGCCCGGATTCGGAAAGTACTTGGGATCGTGATGTAAAGCATATACAGGTATCATCATTATGATATCAGATTCGACGATTACACTTTTGTAACCTGGTTGCGGCGGAGGCAGTTCGGAACTTTGAGTGCAAAGTCTGTCAGTCATTATTACTGGTGGATACTTTCGGAGAGTCTCAGAAATCACCATATCCATATAAGTCATTTTCGACAGCGATTCGTAAGATATATCGTTTCCTTCGCCGAGATGCTGCAGCACTTCCTCGCGCAAGCGATCTTGAATGTCTTGGTTAATCGCCAGCTCATGAGCGGCGAAACACATCAGTATCGAAGATGTTTCGAAACCGGCTAGGAAAAAGATAAAAGCTTGCGAAACAATATCTTCCAATGTCAAGTTTGGATTGTTATCACCGGTTTTGTCCCGAGCCTGCATTAGTAAGTGGATCATATCCGGCCGGACGATACCTTGTTCCTCTCGTGTTTTAATAGTTTCTGCTACAATCCTCTTAAAAAACTCATTCGTAGACGGTGAGACAAATCCCTTCATATCGAAAAACCTGGCAACGCGCGGGGCTGCAGTCATAATTATGAACTTGATCATAGATAGTATTCCATTGAAAGCTTGACTGGTTTCTATTCCCCTCATGTAGAATTCGTTGGTTTGATCCTTCATAGAATTCACACTTATGCCAAAAGCCGCTGTGGCAATTACGTCAGTAGTGTAACGTCTAAAAATTTCCTTTGTCTCAACTTCAACGCAGAGTTCTGGATGGTCAACTAGATAATCGATGAAGTCATCAGCACACTTTGATACTAATCCGCACATGACCTTCATCTTGCTAGCGGTGAAAGAGGGGCTTAGCGTGTTTCTCATTTCTTTCCAACGATCTCCGCGCAAAGAAAAGACATTCTTACCGAATAACGGATCTATAGTTTCGTCCGCGAAGGCACGATGATCATGGAAATGTTCAAACTCCTTTACCAACACATCTTTGATCACTTCAGGATCGCGCAGAAGTACGGCAAGTTTGCCCACATCGTTCGTTCCATAATACTTAGCGTCCGGGAAGTAATTGTACAAATGAATACAATAGTCGACAAAAGTCATACGCATCAGAACTATTTTCCAACTCATAATAAAAGACTGTAATGAATCGGGTTGGTAAGGAACACCCTTTTTCTTCCAGTAAAAGTATACATGATGCACTACTGCGACAAATTTCAAAACGCCAAGAATGACCAAAGTAGCCAGTAATAATCCAAAAGGCGATGAAAGTAAATATGAAAATAATTCCATCGCGGACGTGTGAACAGCGAATAACGAATGGCTCCGTCAGACGAGACAGAGAATTTATAAGTGCGAAGGCGTAGAAGAGTGGATCTTATCGTAGCAAAAAAGGAGGGGAAACAAAAACGCCTCTCATGCTATCACTACTACTATCGCATCAACGTCGTGGATACGTCATTTATATTTTACTGCGTAATAATACATTTACAGATATTATCACAGTTTAGGTAATGCTAAATTTTAAAACTTTAATAAAGAAACATTTCGGTTCGTTTCGATAACAATTTGTAATGTTTGAAAATAGCTCTTAAATGATTCCATTTAATCCTCATTTCATTCAACCTGTAATTACATTTGGCATCACGCACTTTGCCTTTACATTTCATGACGTCGAGTATAAACGATATGAGATAAAAATGAATAATACAGATTACAATTGCAAATATATGCAATGAAAATTATGCAATTTATACAATAAAAATATTTCATTCTAAACATCGATTATTTCGGCAAAAGAAGACGTAAAAAGAATGAAAAGCCTATCAAAGTCATTGTTTTATATAAAAGAACATTCAACTATTGAGAGAGGAAATTTGAAAATTAATTTTTTTTAAATTTTAACAAGTACTTATTTTGATGAAATACTTACAACAGAGAAGTATAAGCAAAAAATTATTATGTCTACAATACCGTTAGTTTGATCATAAAATCATTCAGATCATTTTAAATAGCAAAATTTGCTACAAAAAACCTGATATAATTAGCTTAAAAATATAAATTTAAAAAAACACAATATTCTAACATATCCAACATAAAATGATCGACAAAACTCTTGCTGATATTTTAATAAAATATTATTTCTGATACATATCTCAAAAATATCGTAATCACAGTAAATTCCTACAAATGTCCACATTTGCCTAGATTATATATTTCGTAATAAATGTTTCTACACACAAAATATACACACACATACATAACACACATAATTAGATATAGTGAAAATATTTGTTTTTCTTCTTTTATATATCATTTAATTCAAAATAAGTTAACTAATCTATCAATCTTTCAAACGTAGGAAAAGTATCAAACATTTTGTTTAAATCCTAGATTATTATTTTTACAAAATTTCATCAAAATTATCATTTTTTGTTACGCTTTAGAATTTTTAATTATATAAAATATCTAAAAATATTACATATTTTTAATGTTTTAAAAGTATTATAAAAGCTATTAACTAAATTATAAAATTTTTGAAAAATAGAATGTTCAATTTTATAAATTATATAAGACATAAAAGCAAGAAGAAAGCAAAAGAAAATATCTTTGAAAATAATATTAAAATATAAAATAAAATATAAAATATACCTGTGCGGTGATAAAAGATTTTTTCTTACATAAAGAATGAATAATAAACAGCTCTACTGAATGTATGTATTTCTATTATGTTACTTGTCGACACAAATACGAGTTACGTAAGTCGTTAAAGATCATTGATATGAACAAGTAGAACCAAGAGTCTACGAAGGTCACAACAATGCTATCATAATATTTCTAATTTCATACCGCTGTTAAACCAGAAATTCAATAACGCAATAAGATAGAATATAAAATATATATAATTAGATATATAAAATTAAATATATGTATATACATATAAAACATAAAATATTAAAATTTAATATTTAAATGGAACAATAATGATGTGTCGTAAGTAAATCTTAAACTTTAACTAACTTCTTCAAAAGCTGAAAAATTATATACAATTATATTTCTCAAGACTGAAAAATTATACACGAAATATCTCTAAAGTTGTAAATACGCTGCTTTGCAACTACCAGAAAATAATTACTGTATTTCATAAGCGTATCACGTTTCTCTTTTCTCCAACCTGATCCAGAATCCACCTATAGGTTGCAGGTTGAAATTTTTCTTATCGAATATGACAGGCTCGACAGTTTTTTCCGTTCTCTTCAGGATAAATTTTTGTAAGAGATGAGCCACCAGAATCTTGGTTTCCATAAGAGCAAATCGATTGCCGATGCATTTTCTAGGTCCCTGTCCGAAGGACAAGTAAGTATACGGATTAATGTTGTCCTTGTTTTCTTCGTTGAATCTTTCGGGATCAAACTTGTCCGGATTCGGATAGTATTTAGGATCATGATGTAAACCGTAAACGGGTATCATTATGAAGTGATTAGGTTCAACAATTACGCTCTTACAACCTGGCTTCGGCGGAGGCAGTTCGTAACTTTTAGTGCACTGTCTATCGCTAAAAATCACTGGTGGATACTTTCGGAGTGTTTCAGAAACCACCATGTCCATATAAGTCATCTTCGATAGCGATTCATAAGATATATTGTTTCCTTCGTCGAGATTCTTTAGTACTTCCTCGCGTAAGCGATCTTGAATATCTTGATTAACCGCCAGCTCATGAGCAACAAAACACATCAGTATCGAGGCTGTTTCAAAACCGGCTAAGAAAAAGATGAAAGCTTGCGAAACGATGTCTTCCAACGTTAATTTCTGGTTGTCAACTCCATCCTTGTCTCGAGCTTGCATTAGTAAATGAATCATATCCGGCCTGATAATACCTTGCTCCTCTCGAGTTTTGATGGTCTCTGCAACGATTCTCTTAAAAAACTCGGACGTAGATGATGGAACAAGTCTCGACATACCGAGCAACTTAGCAATACGTGGAAATGTAAGTATAAGCAGAAATCTGACCATAACTAGTACTCCGCCATTGAAAGACTGTATTATCTCTAATCCCTTCGTGTAGAATTCGTTGTTTTGATCTTTCATAGAATTCACGCTTATGCCAAAAGCTGTTGTGGCAATTACGTCGGTTGTATAACGTCTAAAAATCTGCTTCGTGTCAACTTCAACGCAGAGTTCCGGATGATCGTCCAGGTAATTGACGAATTCACTAGCACACTTTGATACCAAATCTAACATAATTTTCATTTTGTTAGCGGTGAAAGAGGGACTTAGTGTGTTTCTCATTTCCCTCCAACGATCTCCGCGCAAAGCGAAAATGTTCTTACTGAATAACGGTTCGTCTATCACACCGTCCGCGAAGGTACGATGATCATGGAAACGTTCAAACTCCTTTACCAATATATCCTTAATCAGTTCAGGATCACGCAGAAATATGACAGGTTTGCTCATTTCCATCATTCCGTAATACTTGGTGTCCGGAAAGCAATTGTATAGAAAAAGAGAATAGTCGACAAGAGACATACGACGTAGAAATACACTCCAACCCGTAAGGAAAGACCGCAGTGAATCGGGTTGAGAAGGAATACCTTTATTCTTCCAATAAAAATATACATGATGCACCTGTGCGACAAATTTGTAGACGCCGATAATGACCAGAGTAGTCACTAGCAACCAGAACGGCGACAAAAGTAAGGATGAAAATAATTCCATCACGAGGCGAGAATAACGAACAAACGAATGACTCGGACAGACTGACAACGAATAAATGCGAACATGTATAAGAGCGAATCTTATCGTGACAAAAAAAGAAGGAGGGGAGAAAGAGAAACCGTCTCTCTCATATCTCTCTATAAATTGTTGGATTAGTAATCGCGCGGAATACGTCGATTGTATTTTATAAAGTCGCGCAATAATCAATTCATAGATAATATAGATATCATCACACATTATTGCCAAAATATTTATAAAGAAAAATTTCATTTCAATAATAAATGACTTTTATGACATCTTTCATAAAAATAATTCCTAAATGATTTCATTTAAACGTTATTTGTTATTACATTTAGCATCGCAAATGCCTTTTCATTTGAAGACAGTTACTTTTGTGACTTTGAGTATATAATATTTGTTTATAATGTGTACGATTTTCTTTCTCATAATCCATACGATTATAAGATAAAATGCAATGATGAGTAATGCACATTACAAGTGCAAAAGTATATTAATAAAAAATGTTTCGTTCTAAATATCAATTATTTCCGGCAAAAAAAAATAAAAAAGGTGATAAAAGCTTATCAAGTCCATTCTGACTTGAGCACAAAACAACAAGCTTACTATCTACAGACTTATTGACATTAAATTTATATAATCTTTCTTTGATATTTTTGCACAATACTTGCTACAGAGAGCAAAAAGTTTATATGTTTATAAATTCATTATGTTGCCCGTATATTCATATTTTAAGTAATTGAACTTTTTATAAAAAAATAACGATTAGCTCTGAAGAAGGGTAGATAAAATAACAAAGTAGAAAAACACAAAATTCTAACAAACCAAACATAAAATTATCAACATGACTCTGATTAATCTGTATATTAATTGTAGATAAAAATTTTAATCATAAATAAGATTAAAAATTCATTGATTTCGTTATCAATTCATGATTGATTGACATTGTTGATTATTGTGACATACACTTTGTTGCATATACTCTTTATCCTTTTCCTTCTAACTTACCTTCTCTTTCTTTCTTTAAATGATGAATGTAAATGATAATATTCAAATATGTATTTTGTTACTCACCAATGAAGACAAAGATCTGGTGATGCGAGTAGCGCAATAACATCGAGATTGAGACCGTCTGAAACACAACAAGGAAAGAGGTCTATTATTAAATATTCTTGAATATACACAATCATAATTTCCGATTAAAATCACGTCTTATTAATTAACGCAAACATCGATCGACATTGATTAAAAATGTCGATCCGCGAATTATGAATTGCCGGATTGTCTGATATTTTGCGCGAGTAACTTTGACAAAGTTACAGCGTCACGTAAATTGCGAACTGGTCGTTCGTAGTCGGTTAGCGGGTTGAGCGAATGTTGAAATTGAATTGCGATCGGTTCAGATTGAACCAGCACCTGACACCCTCGAAGATAATCCGTTATTTGCAACAGACGGCCTTAGTAACGGGGTCGGGCTCCTATACCTTATACGAATGCGCAGATGTTATTAAAAAGAAGGAACAAAGAGAGTAAAAAGCGAAAAAGATTGATAAAGAACTAATATAAATTATTTGTTATCAGCTTCTCCCTTTACGAGAGAGAAGAATGATGTTGACGCGATCGAATTGGACAATCACTTCCTCGCTCAGACGAAATATCGTATATTGGAAATATAGTAAGCCGGTAAAAATATAGATAAACTTACAGAACAAATTAAAATCTAAAAATCTAAAGCTATGTCCTCCCTGGAGCAACAACGAGCAATTTGTTGTCGATGTTCCATATTTCCTAAAAAAGTTGCTCGTTATTGCTCCAAGGAGAACATAGCTTAACATCTGGATACATTTCTATTTCCGTAAAACAAAAGATTAATATATTCCTTTAAATTGATCCCAACATTTCTCTATATATCGCGACTAATAGACATCTCTTATGGGGAAATCTGACATGAATACCGTACCGGTCAGTCGAATTCGATATAAGAGATGCAAGCCCCGGAGGGTGAAGCGCGGATGCGAGCGACAAACGCGCAAACACACAGGGGCAAACAAGGAGAAAGATAAAGGAAGAGGGAATAGTATTTCATCATACTCTGCGCGTATCGCATTGTAACGGAGCGCCGGAACGTCGCGTGCACATGACAGAGGAGATACACACGGGGGTGATACGTGCACGACGACAGTCGCGTGCACGTGACTCGACCGACCGATGGCGGGCCATCAGCGGGGGTGGAAAGGGGGTGGCTCGGAGTGAAAACCCTCCAGGCAACCGGGGGCTCGAATTCACGTGTCGCGACACGAGCGCGACTCGCAACGCTCCCCCGCCGCTCTCTCGATGCTTTATCCGATATATTGGCGCCGCGTTGCAAAGCGAACCGCAGAGTCTAAAGAACAAAATATCTCGCCGCTGAACGCGGCAATTCGAGTCACGAGGCCGTAACGACGAATACGCGAGCCACCCCGGGTCCACGAGGAATTTTTGCAGTGATCTCCATCCTTCCCTTCTCTCTCTCTCTATCTCCCCTTGTTCCTCTATCAGCGGGAGCATTCAATTCCCTAACAAAAAAAAACGTTGAAAATATCTTTGTAACATTTATAAAAATTACAATTGTTATAATTACACACACAAATATAATAATTATAATTATTATGCATCCATAAATTAAGAGACCCAGGTAGCAAGCATATCAAAATGACGTCAGTTTGCTACTTGGGGAATTAATCTCTTGTAAATACACCTCGTGTGTGATATTTACAGAATAATTGTATAAAAATAAAAAAGAGAATAATCTTAATATTATATATGTACGTATGAGCGCGCCAAGTATATTATACAGTATAATATAAAATATACATTACTGTGTTGAAAGCATCGCGTCAATTAGGAGTTCCTCCAGCAGCGAGCTCGACCGCAACATAGCTGCAATCTATTCCACCACAATTTGATACAAAATTACCGACACGGGGGCCGCTACGACGAATATGATGCCTCTAATAACCCTGATTTATACCCGACGGTTTCAGCTCCGAAGGGATCGCGCGCGCGAGGATGAGGACACCAAGGGTGAGGAAAGCTACGCGCAGGCGGATGGTTAGCTTGGATTGATTGCCATATCGTTTTACACGTACGTTAGGCTATCGTATAGGCGAGCATGAAATCGTTCTCCTCTCCCCAATGGAGAAGAATTTATTATCGCCGAAAAAAAGAATGTATAAACGCGCGCGCGTACGCGCAGACTTACTTGAAATTGAAATAGCGAAACCTTATCGCGATATATCGATACTCTCAATACTCTCGATACTATGCGCTATATATGCTACAATCGATAATTTATAAAGTTAGATGGCGCGCAATTTCTACTTTAAATGCTCCATTTCTACATTAGTTTTTAGTTCTAATCGCAGATAATTGAACATGATAAATAAAATGATAATAATAAATAAAAAAGATAAATGATAAATAAAATCTGATAAAATTTAATCTCTATTATATATATTTTTTTTTCATATAATTATAATTGTTGTTGTAATAAATTCTTTCTAAATCAAGTTATCATTTATCTATTTCAATTTATTATTTATTGTATGATAAAGCAAACATAAAATAGATACTTACAAATACGAGCATGACGAAAAATGCGGCCAAGTATGATGTTCGCGCCATCCACATGCTCACAAATCGATAATGTTCTCCTGTGACCACGTTCCTATATAATTAAAAATTAAACAAATTACTTTTCATTTCAGTAAATAATGTATCTACAAATTTCTTGTTTTAATACACAGTGATGTTACTCACCGTAAGAAACCCTTATTGTCTTCATGTTCCGCTAATGTTTTGATGCTTGCCATTAACAAATCATCGTAACCCAAAAATTCATCTAATATCAATCTTGAAAATGTATCACCAAAACATTTGTCATTTGATGGATCCAAAGTGACAATTTTGACTGGAATGTTTAGTCTTTGTCGAGCTGCTGGTGATAATCGCAAGAAACCATATTCCAATGAATATTCCACAATGTAGCCATCTTCTGAAAATTATTAAATTAAAATTTAGTAAGAGAAAAGAATTATTTACCGAAACAATATCGTTTATATATACATATATATTGGAAGCAGACAGTGATACAGACATAATAATTTAAACATGTATTAAAATATTAATTATTGTAATTCAGATTTTTACACATAATCAAAATTGGAATTTATAAATAATATATTCTAATAACACTAATTATTAATTACCTGTCCTAGCTATTTTATCAACGTCCGCTGTACGATCTTTTAAAGGTATATTATCTTCATTTAAATGATTACTGGCTTCAGGCACTTCTGTGGAATTACCTTCCATACTTGGAACGGATGACTTTTCATCGGATGACTAAAAAAATATATAAATATATTATTTTATATTAGCACAATAAACAATTTTTAATAGTTGCACTTTAAAATATACTTAAAAAACTTATTTCTTATCAGATTATTTTATTATTATCAATATCTTCAAAAAAAAGGTACAATTAAAAAATATACATACTATTTCTTTAGCTGTATTTAAATCATTCCAAAGTTTAGTTGGTAATGATAAGCTCATTGTTGTATTTGTCGTGCTTAGGTCAGAATTTTGCGTTTCCCCAGAAACTGTTGCACTTCTTATATCTTGCTCAAATGATGTTAAGTTCTCATGACTCTCTTCAACAGATGCATTTGTAGTGTCCCGTTCTTCATCAACAGCCGATGGTTCAATATTTATAAATCTATGTTAGAACATAATTAAAATTTTATTACAAACAAAATTATTACAATATTAAAAAATATATATATATATATATATATAATTTTCACAAAATTTTTAAAATATAAAAGCATTACTATGTCTTTTTATATAAATACTTGAATTTTAACTTACCCATCTCTGGTTAATATGCCCAAAGTATTAGTTAAATCATCAACTTTTTCCTGTCTCAATTTTTCCTCTTTGGCATAACTTTTCTCTATACTATAATCCTCACCACCATTCCTGAGAATTTCAACTCTCAATATACCATCCCGTGGCCATTCATCTCTTATATGTTCTAAGCAATTAGTTGGTGCACGCGAAAATACTATATGGATATAAGCCAATATAAAAAATGCTATTATTGCCTGTAAAAAAGAATCAAACAAAATCTTTTATCAATACTTGTTTTTGTTATTTTTTATTTATGCAGGACATTTTATTCTTGAATAATATTGATCTTATGAATGCAGATTTAATATAATATGATCTATCGGAAACATACCTTGACAAGAATCATAAATTCTATAAATCTCCTGACAGGCCTTGGAAATGTTCGTGCATAGGCTAGCGCTGCTTTGATAAATAATGCGTGAAATAATCTGTCCCGAACATTAATCAATGGGTTTTGATTATTGTTATTTCTAGCTATATTCATATTATTATTATTTAAAACTGGTCCTATCACACCAGCAAGACTGTGAAGATTGTGTGGTACTGCGCCGTTTTGATTGTTAGGTACTGCAACAGCAGCACCGTTCCCTTGTGACATTTTTTAATATCACATAAGTAGCTTTCACGAAAAGGATTCAAAGAAATGTGTGTGATAATTATTTACACAACTGCCATATTTATACATGTCATTTCCAACAACTTAATGTAGTCATCATATTCTGAAACAAAAAAGCAGACTTTCAATGCTTAACATGCTTTAATGAATCTAAACATATAAGTTTATAACAAAATCTGACAAATAAGAGTAATATATAAATCTTAAATTTAATATTTTAATTTTTATGAATAGAAAACATTATTAATATTTTCATACACTTATAAATGTTTTTCTAGTTTTCTTTTGCAAACTTAATGTAGATTATGACAATTTTGCATATGTGAGATGTGAATACAAAATATTATTATTATTGTTAAACGTTATATTGCACTTTTCACATTATATATATTTTTAATTATATAAGCTAATAATAAGAATGTACGTTAAAAGAACAGCGCTCTTAATTTAGCATCTTTAAACTTGTAAATTCTAAATTGGAGCAAAATTAATTGCTCCAAGTGAACATGATTTTATTCTGACTTTTTTCTATCAAACATTACTCATAACTCTTAATATAATTTATCATATATATATTAAAATACATATTCTAATATTTATTATAAAAAAATTATTTATGTAAGAAAAATATAAATAGAAAATAAATATGTATAGTGCAAGACTAATTATTTATGCTAAATCATTGGAAAACATTGCAGTTATCTTTAATAAAATTAACAATAGATCACATAGAAATATATATAAAAAATAACGTATATAAAAATTAATAGAAAAATCTAAAATCTATATCACAAAGTACGAAAGAGAAATTTATATAATCTAACCTAATTTGCGAAGTATACAAAATTCAACAAAATATAACCTACTTATTTCGCGTCAATATTGAAAATAAAAGAAAAAGAAGAATTTAAAGAGAATTGCTCTTCGGAAAATTTCTTTATATAATAAGTTCTTAAGTTTATATAGTAAGTTTATTTCTATCCATATCGGAGTAACATAAGTCGTGCATAAAAACATGCATACGAAATAGTGACAGGAATGCTGTTCTGTTACGTAATTTCTAGATTGAAAAAAAAAAGATAAAATCCTTCAAATGTCCAGATTAAATATTAATTGCATTAATTATTTCTCTTCGTGATTTGTCCAGCTGTAAGTTTGACACGGAGGATAATATCAGTACCTAACATCTCTTACACCTGATAACGTCAACAGCCGTCAAATTTTCAGCTGTTTTCAAGCAAAAATCTGGCATGTCATACCTTGTGACAGGATTGCAATATGAAATGTCAATGTGATTTCGGCGGCACGTTATCCCTCTTCTGTTAAGGTGAATCAAATTCAATCGCAAAAAATTTCTGCGTATTCATCTAAGAAATACGACATTTGCAAAATTGTCACTTCATCGTCGTATGTTTTGATGTATACCACATAGATCGTATCAGATTGTATCATCCACTAATCATCGTCTTCACGTGCAGGTTCGCCACTCGAATCAATCGAGATTCGGAAAATGCGAAAGGAAGAAAAAATTACTAGATTCGCTCGACGCGAGAAATCGACGCTGATTGGCTTTCGCGTGATAAAGGCGGTTTTAATTGGTCAGCGCAGACGCAAAATGTGATTATGTATTTTTTCCTCTTTTTCGCTAAAAAATCTATTGACACGATAAACCAGAATTTTTTAAAAACTCAGAACAAAAAGAGCTAAAATTTTATTTTTCCGATTGATTAAACTTCAATATTTGATACGAATTTAAAGTTGTAAACTAATCAACCAATCACACACAGAGTCATTCTACGTTATAAAAATATTTGACTATGATTGGCTTATAATCATTGGCGTCGTATCTGTAAACAACAGGTGTTGCAGCTGTCAAATTTCATTTAAATTTTAACGATATATATGAGTATATTTATCACAACAATTTAAAACAACAGTTATATATTTAATTATACTTATTCAAATTTTCGAGAGAGAGAGAGAGAGAGAGAGAAAAGCAAATTGAAATTTTGCATTATCGAATTATAATATCTTGAGAAACAAAGTTTATACAATATTTACAATTTTATTTTTTATTTAAACGAAAATAATTTCTCTCAGACTATATTTTACATTTGATATATTTTTTTATAAAATAAACAATGTATTCACCTTTATCCCCACAAACTAGTCTTAGTTCAGAATTGAGAAAAATCATAAATGAAAGAAATATACTGAGTATGCGGAGCCGTATGAAAGGTATCTAAAATTTATATAAGTTAATAACATGATTTTTATGATTCTATATATTGTGTTTTTAGTTTTACATGCCTTAAATGAAGACAGTGAAAAGTGCGAAGAGGAAAGAGAAAGAACTTTAAGATCACAAGCTATTCAAGAGATATTAACCACAGAAGTTACTTATTTACAACAATTAGAGATTTTAGCAGAGGTACATTTTAATATATCATTTATTATAAAGTTATTACAAAATATTAATATGTGTTTCTTTTTTTTTAGTTTTTTATACAACCTATTCTTGAAAGAAAATTATTGGAGCATCCATTACTTGTTACTCTATTAGAGAATATAAAAACATTATATAATGTGAGTGGTGAATTAGTGACAGGAATAAAACATAATCCTGACAATATAAGTCAAATATTTCACAAACTAGCACCTTTCTTTAAATTGTATTCCATTTATGCTTATGATTATACACAAGTGCTAAATCTATTACAGGTAATTATTAAGTATCATGAAGATTCAAGTGTTTAAGTTTATTCAAATTTAATGCAATTTATATACTTTACAGATTTGCTCATATTTGTAAATATATATTTTGTTAGAAATATATATATATATATATTTATATTGAATATATTTTTAATTAAATAAAATATTTCTGTTAAAATATATACAAACAAAAGCATTAATATTAAAGTTTATTTACAAATTTATCTTTCCAGATAAGTCAAGAGAGTGATCCTGCATTTAAAAAGTTTATTTGTGATCAAGAAACAAGACCAGAAGTAGGCAGAAAGTTAGCGTCATTGTTAATTACACCAGTACAAAGAGTACCGAGATATCAGTTACTTGTTAAAGAAGTATTACAACATACTCCTTATAGACACAGAGAATATAGATCTTTACAAGGTAATGGAGACACTTTGAATTTATTAGATGAGTTATATATTTTTTAATGCATGTTTTTAATTTAATATTTTATAGCATGTTTGGTTGAAATTGAAAAATCTGCAAGACATATAAATGCTCTAATCGCACAAAATGAAGAAATGCAAAAATTGTTAAATCTTCAGAAGAGCATTGTTACTTCGATTAATCTCGTTAAGCCTGGTAGAATATTAATCAAAGAAGGATCATTGATGCGTGTTTCAAGACGAGGCAATTCTGCTTACAAAAGATACTTTGTACTCTTAAATGACACTTTACTATATTGTAAGGGTGAACCAGGAACTTCATTAAATGTATCTTGTGTTTTACCATTAAACAAGTGCAGTTTAACTTGCGTTCTAAGCAAGAAACTGTTTCGTATAACATGCTTGCATGAAACGTTCCTGTTATATTCAGAAAATGGCGATAGCGACGAATGGATACAATCTATTGAAAATGCTATCAGAAAAGTACTTATTACATTGTTAAAAATGTACATCTTTTAAAATTTAGTTAAAATATTAATGTTATTTCATTTTCAGTATACCGAATGTAGACAAACCTTGAGAAAGGAAAGTAGCTCAAGAAAACCGCTTAGACATAAGGATATTAATAAATTTCCATCAGATGATATACCAAAAAAATCTATTAAAAGAAAAAGAGATGAACAGGTAATAATTATTTTATGTGCATAATTATTGATATGTTTTTTAAACACAATAAAAAATCAATTACATAAAAAGTCAACTAATTTAGAAAATTTTTCCATAGATATATTCACAAATAATAAGTTAAGTGTCAATTTCTAATTACAGATATCATTGGATTCTTCCAATATCATATACTTTAAAAAGGATGATGAAGCGGATGATGATATTCCACGAGAAAACACTTGTTTATTCTTTTACAAGAAATTTAAACGAGATCAGTTTTCTAATACTAGTGATATCACTTCCCAAAGAAAAATATAAAATTACATAAAATTTAAACAAGCAATATGTATCTAAATATAAATATTTAAGAAAATCAAATAATTATAACAATGATGTAGGTAAAAAATATACAATGGAAATAGTATTCAATGAAATTTGCACTGTACTAATATTTAATCTTTTTCTTAGGACGCAGCAACAATGAGAATGCACGAAACAAGTCTACGTTCAATTGCATCAAGAGTCGAAGAAAATGCATCACCATTTCGGATAATTGGCGAATTTTTTACCCACATCGGTACAACCATAAAAGATTTTTTTACATTTAGATAATTTATTAAAATACTCTGCTGCAACGTAAGACAATAAGAGAAAAAGAATTTATCGATATTATATAATACATAGAATTACAAATTGAATTTCATGTGTGTATATATATATATATGTAAATTTATTTTATTTATTTTGGAGTGCGAGAATAATTAAACTTTTTGAAATTTTTAATAATTTTTTCTTAGAGATTATTCCAATTACTTTAAATACATACAAGCAACGTGTGTTGAATTTATTAAAACATAAATTAAAATGTATATCAATATATTTAACAATTCATCCCTTTACGTCAGAAATAAAAATCTCCCACTTAGATTCTTATCGGCAGCTATGTTCCACATCTAGATATGTTTTATATAATCTATGCTTCCTCCAGTTTCTCCCTACGAGTCCCTAGTCTGGTAAATCCACGCATGCGCAGCTGACGTTATCACGCAGAGAATGAAAGTTTTTCCTTCGATTTGGGAACATTGCATTACACGCGCAGTGTACTGACCGCGGTTATCACTTATGGCCAGAGGTATAGTAGAGGGACTACTGTGAGGAACATATTTGTTCTCGTTAGGTAGGTGGATATCACGATCAATCTCGCACGAATAAAAACGGAGTACATTTCACATTTGCTAGTAGTATGGAATAGTACGGTGCGTGTGACGCCGAGGAAAAAGGTGCGATAGGAAGATAGAAGGGCGGAGAGAGAGAGAGAGAGAGAGAGCCAACGTTATCTGTACGGAAAAATTATAATACCGTGATTGATGAAAAACTATCGAAAATACGCCGAGAGAGTAGAGAGATTTATATATACTCCCTTCCTTCTTCTCTACGACACATTATTTCTATTCGTATAATTGTTCACCGTGCGTAGCATCCCATTGATTATTCAATACGATTTTTAATGAAGCTTGTGGTATATCGGAATTGTGGGAGTCGCTTTTCATCTCGTCGACTTTACGCTTTAAAGTGAGAAAGCATCTGGTGAGACGCAATAATGGACATGTATCACAGACGTTCTCCTCTGATATTTTCTCTCCTTTCACGCGTAATAATAATACGACGATATGTATCTTTGGAAGAAATATTAAAATACGAAACACATCTATGATATGTACTTATTAATGTAAATCGGATATTTTCGATAGTTTCGTAGAAAAAAATTCTTCATTTAATTTTGTTATAGTTATTCTTTCATGGTAATTTAATGTTAAGTGGCATAAGTTATATTGATGAGTTCTGAGAATTAGAATTACAACTTGCTTATATACGACACATTTATTAATTGCTTATATATCACATTAATTATTTATTATATTGTAATACTATTTTATCTCGTGTATATCACACACATAGTATTAATATTATTTTACATATTTTTATACTTTTCAAAATTTTTATATATATATATATATATATATATATATATATATTATATATATACTTTGACATAATTTATATTTTTAAGTAATTCAAATCAATGTTATATATTAGTATCGTATATTTTATACTAATAATTATATGATTTATTTATAGAATAAATTGTATTTTACAAATATATGTGTAAATCATATAATTATTACAAAACAATATAGATATATTTATTTCTTTATTCTCCAAACAAGAAAATTGCTATTACATACTTATATATATTTATATATCTTTTTTGTTTTACAGAATTTTTTTTACGAATGGATATTTATAATAGATAGCAATGGAAGGCCCATTAGAAATAAAAAACGCTGGCACAGTCGCTGAAGAGCCTATAAAATCTGAAGCTCCTGTACAAAATCCTGATAATAGCGAGCGAAGCGATGGTGCTACCTCTCCACCACCGAATTGCAGCATTTGCCTAGGAAAATTAGTTAATACATCTTTTACGGACAGTTGCCTGCATCAATTTTGTTTTAATTGTTTGCTGGAGTGGTCCAAAATAAAAACGGAATGTCCTCTATGCAAGCAAACGTTCAAGTCGATTATACACAGTGTGAGATCGGAGGAAGATTATGCTCAATATCATATACCTCGGGAATTAGCATCACAAATTTCTCAACCACAAGTTAGTGCTTTGGATTTAGGCTTTGGTTTTGAAAACAATGTTGGACAATGGGACGTTCCCCGTCGATTTCTTTATAGGTACATATATATACATTTTTCTTTACATAGAATTATATTATTAAAATTTTGACAGATATGTATTTATATAAAATAATTCTATGCTATGTTACCTAGGACGACAATGACTGGCAACCGCCGTCATGGTGTGCTATTAAACCCAGAACAAGTTGCAAGACGCGAGCAATTGCCGAATATGGCACCTCAAGTGCCTAGAGAAGAGCGCCGACGTAGACGTGTTGATCCTACAGATTATCGTCGTACCGTTTATAGACATGGTATATGGGCTACTTCATTACCTGACATATTTGGACGTTTCCGCGAATGTAGTGCCGAATATTACAGGTAAACATTTCGGTAAACATAAATTATTTTAAATTTATTTTTTTTAATGTTCTGAATTATTGTAAGTCTTAATTTTATATTAAAAAATGTATTATATGTATAAGAAATATAATTATATAAAATAATATATTTAAGTTATATTATTAATTCTATGTATTTTAATTCTATTGTAGAAGACAACCACAAGAATTAGATCGTCTTATACCATGGTTAAACAGAGAGTTGCAAGTTTTACTCAATAATGAACCAGGCATTATTGCATATGCATTGAGCATAATAATGAATGCCCTAACTCGATTTGATATTAGAAGCCCTGAATTTCGCAATGTTGTGCAACCTTTTTTCGATGCACATACTGATCATTTTGCACACGAATTATTGA